GCCCATTAAAACCACTACTGTATTCTCTGCTTTCATGAATTTGATTATTTTACATACCTTTAAAATTGAAATCATACAATATTTGTCCTTCTGTGATTAGCTTATTTTGCTCAGAATAATATTCTCTAGGTTCACCCACGTTGTTGCAAATGGCAGGATTTCTTTCTTTCTAAAGACTAAATAGTATTCTATTGTGTAATATCACATATTCTTTACTCATTCATCTGTTGATGGAAACTTGTGTTGTGTCCACATCATGGCCATTGTGAATAGTGCTACAATAAACATAGGTGTGCTGGTGTTTCTTAGAGATGCTAACCTCAGTTCTTTTGAATATATACCCAGAAGCTAGATATTTTCATAGTTCTATTTTAATTTTGAGGAATCTTCATACTTTTTTAATAGCTACTATACCATTTTATATTCTCATTGACAGTGTACAAGGGTTCAAATATCTCTATAACCTTATCAATACCTTTGTTACCTATCCTTTGTTTTTCTTTAAATAATTGCCATATAGAACCACAAAAGATTCAGATTAGTCAAAGTAATCTTGAGAAAGAAAAACAAACTAGAGGCATTATATCCTGACTTCAAATCGTATTACAAAGCTATAATGATTAAAACAGTGTGGTACTGCCCTGGCTGGCGTAGCTCAGTGGATTGAACGTGGGCTGCGAACCAGGCATCACAGGTTCGATTCCCAGTCAGGGCACATGCCTAGGTTGTAAGCCATGACCCCCAGCAACCACACATTCATGTCTCTGTCTCTCTCTCTCTTTCTCCCTCCCTTCCCTCTCTAAAAATAAATAAATAAAATCTTAAAAAAAAAAACCCAACAGTGTGGTACTGACATAAAGACAGACATATAGGCCTATGGAATGGAAGAAAAAGCCCATAAATAAACCCATACATATACAGTCAACTAATCTTTGACAAGGGTGATAAGAACACATAATGGGAAAAGAATAGTCTCTTCAGCAGATGGTGTTGATAAAACTGGATATCCACATGCAAAAAGAAAGAAAGAAAGAAAGAAAGAAAGAAAGAAAGAAAGAAAGAAAGAAAGAAAGAAAGAAATTGAAACTCTACCATCCATCATGTAAAAATAAGATAAAAATGGATTAAAGATGTAATACCTGAAAATGTAAAAATGCTTTAAAAATATAGAGGAAAATCTTTGTAGTATTGGTCTTGACAATGATTTCATATATATGAAACCAAAAGCACAGGCAACAAAAGCAAAAGTAGTCAAGTGAGACTACACCAAACTAAAATGCTTCTGCACAACAAAAGAAACAATCAGCAGATTGAAAAGGCAGCCTACAGAATGGTAGAAAATATTTGCACTTTTATGAAGGGTTAATTTTCAAAATAAGTAAGAAATCTTATAAAGGGTTAATTTCTAAAATATATAAGAAAGCCCTATAATTCACTGGGAATAAAAAGAAGGAAGTAAAAGGAATAACCTGATTGGAAAAAAGACCAAAGGGCTTTGATAGGCATTTCTCCAAGTAAGAATTACTAATGGCCACCAGGTATATAAAAAGATGCTTAACATGATTATCAGGAAAATGCAAAACAAAAAATTGCCTGGGAAATGCCCTTGGTAGTTGACTACTTCATAACATATTCTTTGTAACATACAGGGGTTTCCTTTTGCCTAGTTTCACTTCTCCTTTATCTCATATTTTCCTCTCTAAGATTATATTTCCAAAGAAATAAGTTGCACATAAGGCTCTGTTTTGGGAAAATCGAGGATAGCACATGCCATGAAACACATGCTCTGTATGAGGTACAGAGAGAGAAACACAATTGTCCACTGATGAAAATCTGCACAGGCCAAGGTCAGAAAAATCATAGGATGGAACAGCATAGGAATCTTGGAATTGACTAAAGACCCCCTTCGGAAGCTCTGGAACTAGGCTGTCCAATATAGTAGCCACTAGCCACATGTGCCTATTTAAATTTAAATGTAGGAGCCTCAGAATCCTAAACCCATGCAAACTATGAAATAATAAATAGATGTTGTTTTAAGACATTAAGTTTGTTTTGATTTATTACATAACAATAGAAAACTAAACAGTATTTATTTCTAATGATAAATTGTAAACTTTTAAGCAAAAGTTATAATTTTGTGTTCAAAGGGCAAGGTTTAGAATATTCCCCTCAAATCCAAGGCATTCTCTAATGAAGGTATAAACTACTCAACATCTCAGCAAATATCAAATAAGCTCTCATCACTTGGCAGGCATTTGGTTCTGCAGAGGTGTGGGGGTGGCAGGGGTGTGTGGGGGGTTGCTGAACACACAGCAGAAAAGGGACAGATGGCAAAGAGGGACAGGGGGAGCAACATAGTGGAGAAGTGAGTACATTACGTAGGGAGGTATGGGAAGTTGGCTGGGAAAGTGGTTGGCATAGAGCCCCCGCCCAAAGACTGTTCTGAGTCAGAAATAGGAGGAAACACCTACAGCCCAGTGGGAACTCCCTTATCAAACAGTTCTCATCTAAACTGGTTACTATCTTATTCTGTTCTCTTCAGAACACATGGAAACTCATGGCAGTGCAGGGACAGAGAAACCAGGTCTGTCTGCCCATAAAGAGACCCAAATATGCATTTCTTTATTGGCACAGTGAAATCTGTATCCAAGTTGGAAACATGCAGTTTACCAGCTGTGTGTAGTTTGTACCTCAAATTCCTCATACAAAGCAGTATCCTACCCTCTACTATTGGCTGGGTGAATGGCAATCTATGAATATTTATGGGAGAGGAAAGGAGCTGAGGGAAGAGGAGGACCTCAGACAGGACGCAGAACTCCACCTCTGCCAGGTAACCTTGTGGTCACATGTTCAAAGGCAGTGGGCAAGACTGGAGTCCTTTGTTGTGAGTGAGCTGGAGGGATTGGTATTCTGGGGGACTTTTGACAAAAAGTTTTAGAATTGAATTGAGGTTTATATGGGATATCATTCTTTTTTAAAAGACTATTGTGCCCATTTTTTCCCTTCGGGCTGCTGGCCCGGAAACTGCTGTAGGACCTTAGGAAGTTTCTGGAAAAAATGTTTTCTCTAGCTCTTCAACATCTTGGACTGCTTTAATTTTTTAAACATATAAAAGAAGTGTTATAAATAAAAGTATTTCCAATTTATGGTATAGAAAATGTTTAAAACATAAGGACGTTCAAAGAATAAAATAAATAATAGCTTTTACTCTACAGCCAAATATAGCCACTCTTCATGTTTTGCTGTATTTACTGTCAGATTTTAATAGATTTATGCATATATACATACATTTTAACAAAGAAATAATTATGTGACTATGTATTACATGGCATAATATTTTGCAAGATCTTGACATTGTCTGAACAGTTTCCCCATGACTAAACATTATTATTTTGTGATTTCAGTATATTCCATGACATAGCTACACAATAACTTGTTCAATCAATTTTCTCTTTGGGGGAATTTATTTTGTTTCCCTCTCATCATTTTTCTCCATATTATGTTGAAGTAATTCTCCTTAAAAATATTTGTATACATGAATGTATATTTCTCAGTGGAATAGAGAGTGCATGCAAATGTTTAAGGATTTCAATTCATTTTGCTTAACTCCCCCTAAGATAGTTCCTTGACTTTACACCCTTCCAGCTGTGTGTCACCAGTCAGTGTCCCCAATTATGGTCAGCCCCTTTAAAGGTGAATGCTCCTGTAGATACTGGTGACATTTTCCATCATGTCATTGTGTAGTAATTTGAAATCACCTGAATGTGTGCAAACCTCACAGGCTCAGGTGACATCATTCTCTCTTGACAGTCTGATAATGACTCATCAAATTGCAAAGCTTTGTTGAGCAATTTTTGTCTTATATTCTCCAAACATCTTGGAATTCTTTCCAAACCTATCTGAGCACTTGTGCATCATGCAGGTACCAACTGTTGACCTCTGGATATCAGTTTGTTGATTTGGAACATGAATGAGCTGTTTAAGCCTTTCATTCTAACATTTTATATCTTAATGACATGCTCTCTCTCAACTTTATGCTGGCCTTTTATCTTACCTGCATTTAACCTCTCTTCTTCTGAAACCTGTCTAAACTTTTTTTTCTATGATGCATTTGATTTTATGTTGTACTGTGAGAGGTACCTTGTGTGTGTGTGTGTGTGTGTGTGTGTGTGTGTGTGAGAGAGAGAGAGAGAGAGAGAGAGATGAAGGGGGAGAGATAGAGTGAGCATGTTATGTCCATGCTTTTTTTTTTTGTTAGTGTAAGTTTATATGAGAAAGGGGGTGATGATCACCCTTCTTAGGCTTCTACTGGGGCAGGCACTGTTGAGTCTGCTCCCCTGCAGCACTGAGGTCTTCTTCTTGGGCATTTGGTGAGAGAGAAATACTGATTAAAGTAATTAAATGTACATGTGTGTGTTGTGTGATTTTGGGGATGTGTCGGAGTCTACCTGTGTGCGTCTCTGTGGTGAGTGTGTGGGTGGGAATGTCTGTGGATTTGTCTGTGTGTGTCTGTGTGTGAGTGATTAAGTGCTTGGCTTCCATGTGTTGGGGCATTAGGATGGGAGGATAAGTGAAGAACAGATGATCATGTTGGAATATGTACAAGGACCATTTCTTTGAAAAAAGTAAATAAATAAACAAACTGAACAGAATAAATGTGATTTGGGGACAAGGACTCAGAGTCAGAGATAGCTTGAAGCAGGGACTATCTATATTTAGATATGACTTACTCAGGGGCAAGAAGAAAGTCCAGCTCTGGCTGAGGCTGCCCAAAGTAACAGGCTCTGGGTGATCTTGACTGCCTTCCCACTGGCAGCCCAGGAACACCCTGTGAGTACAACAGTCACACATACACATCTGCACATCTTTAGTGCCTAGGTCAGGCACTTTCTGTCAATAGCCCTCATCACCAGTCTTGCTGTGTGCAGTACCTACTTTGCATTGAGAGAACAGTGAAGAAAGATGAGTTGGACAATGACACACATAGCCAGCTATGGAGTTAAAAATGATTTAATGGGGGCAGAGCAGGGAAGAGTCACTTGATCCCCACCCCAATCACTCTTTAGATGCGCCCCGAGCAGCTAGAAAACTAGCTCAGCCAGTGAGACTTTCAGCCTTATTCAGGGGCTCAGAAGCCCTTCAGACTGAGAGTGAGGGACATCTTTTTAGAGGGTGCAAAGAGGAAGGGGTTATGACTCAGAGGGTTATCACAGCATGCTATTTATAAGTGGAACAGATAAGCAGAGTAGGGGAGGGGATTCAGCATTCAGTGGTTGGTTCCTCAAGGGCATGGCTGTGGGCCACATTACTTCTGCTTGGTTTGCTGAATTTGTGCTGGAATTACTGTTGAAGGACATGGCTCGGCAACCTTGGGATGGCAGGGCTCCAGAACCTTGGTCTGACATGGCTCAGGAACCACAGGATGGCAGGGATCTGGAACCTTGGTCTGACATGGCTCTGGCACCTTGGTGTGGCATGGCTCAGGAACCTTGGTGTGGCATGGCTCTGGCACCTTGGTGTGGCATGGCTCAGGAACCTTGGTGTGGCATGGCTCTGGCACCTTGGTGTGGCATGGCTCAGGAACCTTGGTGTGGCATGGCTCAGGAACCTTGGTGTGGCATGGCTCTGGCACCTTGGTGTGGCATGGCTCAGGAACCTTGGTGTGGCATGGCTCTGGCACCTTGGTGTGGCATGGCTCTGGCACCTTGGTGTGGCATGGCTCAGGAACCTTGGTGTGGCATGGCTCTGGCACCTTGGTGTGGCATGGCTCAGGAACCTTGGTGTGGCATGGCTCTGGCACCTTGGTGTGGCATGGCTCAGGAACCTTGGTGTGGCATGGCTCTGGCACCTTGGTGTGGCACGGCTCCTTGGTTTGGGGGACACATGGTTCCTGGGGTGGAGGTTGGCAGGGCTGTTTCACTTGCTGCTGCTGGAGCTGGGGGGGTGCGGTGCAAGGCTGCTTCTGCTGGTGGGAACTCATGCTTCAAAGGAGGCTGGACCTAGAGATCAGAACAGATGGTTTAAACAGGGATTAACTAGGAAAGAAGCCATGCTCAGTGCTAAATAAAATTAATTTCATGATCCTTTACAAGAGTGAGCCTCATCTCTACACAGGAGTGAGCTATGGCTGTCCTCCTACAGTTGAGAGTAAAACATGCTTTGACAATTTGTGGGCCCTTTTCAGAGGAGAAACTTAAAAGCAATTTGTTCATTCTATTTCAGTGGGATTTATTGCTCAGCTTCCTTTCTCTCTAAGAATGTCACAGTCCTCATTGACAAGTACCCATATTAGGTCTTTTGGAAGGCAATGTCTTAGAAATGACTGCAGTGTACTCACTCCTAGTACTACACAGTACACCTGTGACTTATGGGATGACTCTATGTGAATCCAAGCTCCTACAACCACACTCTAGCCTTTGCTTACACAGTCCCCTCTGAAATGCTTTCCTTCCCATCTCTGCTGTCCAAGTACTCCTCCATCGTAGCTCACATCATTGCCACAACTGAGAGCTCTTCGTGAGTGTGGCTCTCCAAAACTGCCACAGCCCTTCCCTGCCCCTTCTCCTCACACTAGTCACTATCCACTTTGTGCTTCATCTATGTATGTACATGCATTATCTTCCCTGCTAGGTTGTGAATTTCCTGAGTAAGTTCCTATGAATATGGGTATGATTTACCCAAAGTGCTTAGCATAGTGCCTTAAATATAATAAAAGGCTCAGTAGATCTATCATATGAGTTACAATTTTTATAATAAGTATCATAAACAGAGAGGACAGCAGTGTTTCTGAGAGTGCTCTGGGCCTGAGCTGTAGTTGTAAGCCTGTTTTTAACTTACTGTGGGGTCTTTCACAGGTCTGTGCCCTTCCCTGTCTCCCAGTTCCACAGCTGTCCACTGAGGTGGCTGACTTAACCACCTACCAAGTTCTCTTCAAACCTAAACTGTGCTTTAATTTAAGATAAAGATATCCCAATAGTCTCACTCTCTAATACCCCTCATCAGCCCTCTTACACATTTGCCTCTGTCTAGTTTCTAATAACAAAACAATAAACAAGAATTTCACATTGGTTCTAATCAGAGACTCACCTGGTTCACAGAGAAGATCAGGCTTTGTGGTCGCTCTGGTATGGTGTCAAGTCAATGGCCAGCTGGCTTTTTATAATGTGACTGAGCCCTGCCTTAAGAAAATAAAATCGCTCCAGGCCCCTCTGTTTTCTTTCCTCACCTGTTAACATGATTCACCCCACTCCCCTCAATTACTAGTTGGCTCAGCTTTTGTGATGAAAACCACCCACTTGGTATTCTTTGGCACTGGCTATCTGATGGTGATGTCACCTAGGCCTAATTCCCACTGCCACCCTCCCCCTTAGACCCAAATGTAGGGCTTATGTTGGGGGAGGGGTGAGTCACAGGCCTCCTGGAAGGTTTTATGAGTTAACCCTAGAGGGAAATCTGAGACCTTTTGTGATCTTGCCACCTTTCTGCTCTCTTCTTTCTTGTGATGTTTGTTCCTCATATTCTGTGGGATAGAATGCATTTGGGCATATGAACAAGTGGGAAAGGGAAGGGGAGCATTGGAGCTGTGGTGGGTACAAGTTGCTTGCAATGTAAAGGCAGATGCTAGAGATCATGAAATTGACTGAATGTAGACTCCTTGTCTGGGGGATTTAAAACCATTATATCCATTTCCCCCATCTTTCTCCTGACTCCATTGAACTACACACATTCAGAATTACGTAATTATCATCCCCCCAACCCCACCCCTTCATGACTGGTTGCTAATCTGGGTAAACCTGCTTTGCTTTCACCAACCACACCTTCACCCCTCTCCTACTTAAGAGATTTTCAAGGGCTAATTCATCTTCTGGGACAACCTTTCCCTCCACTCCACCCAGCCTTCTGGCCATGGCCCTTTCCTCCTTCCTAACCCAACTATATACCATCTCACCTAAAAACCTGGAACCCTTTTCTTACTACCTGCCCAAGCCCATCCATTGGAGCCCTCAGTGATGAATCCCCCTACCTTTGCCCACTCTCAACTCCAGGCCCAACACCTGGAGCTCTTACTGGCTGCTTTGTGCCCCCGCCCCTGTCTCTGTAGCTCCTGGGAGCTTTCTGAGTGTCAGAACTATGCCTGCTCAAAACAATGATGTTCTGAGGATAATATTTCTGTTCTCATCCATTCAACAAATATTAATGGAGTCCTTAGTATACACCAGTCATGGCTCATTTTAGGAGCTCTTTGTACAAAGACCACTTTCCCTCATGAGACTGGGAACTCCCTGGGACAAAAGATAGCCTTATTCAGAGCTACTAGTGTAATGGATCTCGGAGAGCCTCAGTCCACATTCCTCATGTGATAATTGGGGTGTTTGAGGCCACGAGAAGTGAAATAATTCACCTAAGATCAAACAACAAACCCCATAAGAAAAGGAATTCTATATAGATATCCTATGTCCTCCTTTGTCTTAACCCCTCCTAATGCCTACAGAAGAAATTAAGCAGGAACATGATTAAAAGTGGAAAGGGGGAGCCCAGACTTCCTGGCTTGGAGCTGGGTCCACTCAGTCTTGGGAAAACTTTGTGTGTATGGCAATGTGGAAAGACACAAAGAGGGTTCCTTTTGGGTAAGCCCTTAATCTTTGTTAGGATGAATCCTCTTAAGTAGTCATCAATCTGCTTAATGTTTGAAGTGGCTCTGGGGATTAATAGAAAGTATTTCTAGCTCTGTTAAAACTAGGAGGGGACATGAATTAGCATAGGTGGAAGTAAGGCACTAGTTTAGTTTATCATTACTCAGTGGACCAGGATCTGAGAGGAAGGAAAAGGCTAAAATTCCAGTTTTGAACAAGTTGCTTTCACTCTGGAATAGGTACCATAGTGATAGAGTCTGGGAACCTGGACAGTAATGACACTGAGGATGGCATAAGGTGAGCAGCCTCTGAGCACCTGCCCAGGTATACATTTCCTCCACTATGATCAGGTCCTGGCCTTTTCTGGGAACATAAGAACAGGGATTCCTTGGGTCCTCACACCAGCAATTTCCTCTAATCAACATAACATAAAATGAAGTCACTGGTTCAGAGCTGCCTTCAAAACACAATCTGTTATTAGGTGTGGCCTTAGGAAAATCCAAACCACCCTTAAAACCCAGGTGTGTGGATAGTTTCTCCTTCTCATTTGCCTCCACTGCCACCAAACACACATTTAAGTATTTGTGGAGAACCTGCTGGCTCCACAGCTGAGTCACCTCTCATGACCTTGAGTCCTGGACCAGCCTCCCACTGAGTCCCCGTAGTCAATAGTCCACATCCATCCTCACATGGTACCTGGTGTGCGGTAAGTAGCTGCTTGGTGAGCTGGTGATTGTAGAATGACTAACTGACTGACTGAATGATTGGATGAATAAATTAATGAATGGCATTATTTGTAAACAGAGGCATAGAGACTGCTGGAAAGCCCCTGATCTTTGGGGATGAGCTGATAAAATAAGGGCTCAGCAAAAGATAGATGGCGCTTCCACTGCCTTCCCCACACATCTGCCTTACTATCTGTCAGTTAAACAACCCACCTCTCTCTGGGCTGCTGCCAGCATGTGGCCACAGCTGGGCTCCAAGCCTCTCACCTCAGTTTAGCTTCCCTCTGGGCTTGATTCAGGTCCCTTTCTTCACCCTAACTCCCTCTTAGGAGCCCCTGACAGAGGGAGAACAGGAAGAAATTGCTGCTGTCCCTGGTAGAATTTTCAGCCCCAAGGAAAGTCCTTTCTTTCTTTTTTGTGTGTGACTTAAAACAACAGAAATTTATCATCTCACAGCTGTCAAGCATGAAGCATGAAATCTAGGTATCAACAGGGTAGGTTCCTTCTGGGAGCTCTGAGGGAGAATCTCTTCCATGCCTCTCTCCTAGCTTTAGGTGTTTGCTGGTGATCTTTGAATTCCTTGGCTTATAGATGTACCACCCCAATCTATGCCCTCATCTTGACATGGCTTTCTCCTTTGTGTGTCTCTTCTCTTCTTAAAAAGACACTAGTGGGTCACATTAGATCAAGGGCATATCTCCAGTAAGATCACATCTTAACTAATTACCGTTTCCAAATAAAGTCACATTCTGAACTTCCAGGAAAGAACTCCTAGATTGTTTATTTAACCCACTATAGTCCACCAGCCTGGCTTCCTGAAAACTCATGTCTGTCCCACATGCAAAATAATATTCACCTGTCCCAACATCCTCAAACACTTTAACTCATTCCTGCTCCAACTCTAAGACCAAAATATCATTTAAATATAAACTCAAAGCACCCAAATAGCAATGACTAAATCAGGCATAGGCTCTGGGTATGGTCCGTTATAGAACAAACTTCCTCTTTATCTGTAAACTTGGGAAACATCTAACCACCAAAGCCTGGTTCCTGATCCCATTTGACAGAGAGAGAGGTAAGGGATGGGACCTTTCCTATTAACAATCCTGATGCCAATACTTAGGATAGTGTCTAATACTCTGCTCACGTTCAATTACTATTTCTTTTATTCCTTGCTATGAAATTCATTTGGTTAACAAAATTATACAGTTTCAGGTGCATGTTTATACAACACATCTTCTGAACACTGTATTATGTGTTCGCCACCCCAAGGAAGACTCCTTTCATCACCATCTATCCCTCCATACCCCATTCCACTCCACCACCTCAGCAGTCACCACACTGCTGTTCGTGTCCATGAGTTTTCCTCTTTCTTTTCCTTTTGCTCAATCCTTCCACCCCTAGCTCCACAACTCCCCCCACAACAGCTGTCAGCCTGCTCTCTTATCTGTGACTCTGTTTCTATTTTGCTTGTTAGTTCATTTTGTTCCTTATATCCCACATGTAAGTGAAATCATAAGGTACTTGTCTTTCTCTGACTGGCTTATTTCACTCAGCATAATGTTCTTCAGGTCCATCCATGCTGTTGCAAAGAGTACAATTTTCTTTTTTATTTTTTATGGTCAAATAATATTCCATTGTATAACTGTACCGTGGCTTTTTAAACCTACTCATTTACTGATAGACACTTGGGCTATTTTCCAGATATTAGCTATTGTAAATAACACTGCAATGAACATAGGAGTGTTTATGTTCTTTCAAATTGGTATTTTGGATTTCTTTGGGTAAATTCCCAGAAGTGGAATCACTGTGGTAATGTCATACTGCTTTCCACAGTGGCTGTATCAATCTACATTCCCACAAACAGTGCACAAGAGTTCCCTTTTCTCCACATCCTTGCCAACACTTATTGTTTATTAATTTATTGATAACCATTCTGACAGGTATAAGGTGATACCTCATTATAGTTTTAATTTGCATTTCTCTGATGATTAGTGATGTTGAGCATCTTTTCATATGTCTATTGGTCATCTGTATGTCATCTTTGGAGAAGTGTCTATTCAGGCCCTCTGCCTGTTTTTCAGTTGGGTTGTTTGTATTTTTCTGTGTTAAGTTTCATAAGTTCTTTATAAATTTTGGATAATAAGCCCTCATCAGATATATCATGGAAGAATATGTTATCCCATTCAGTGGGTTGTCTTTTCATTTTATTGATGGTTTCCTTTGCTGTGCAAAACCTTTTAGTTTTATGTAGTCCTATTTGTTTATTTTTTTCTTTTGTTTCCCTTGTCTGAGGAAGTATATCAGAAAAAATATTACTATGAGAAATGTCCAAGATTTTACTGCTTATGTTTTCTTCTAGGATTTTTATGGTTTTGAGTCTAACATTTAAATCCATTTTGTCCTTATTCTTGTATATGGTATAAGAAGGTAGTCTGGTTTCATTTTTTTTTGCATTTATCTGTCCAATTTTTCCAACACTATTTATTGAATATTTATTTATCTTTATCCCATTGTATGTTTTTGCCTCCTTTGTCAATATTAATTGACTAAAAAGGCATGGGTTTATTTTTGGGCTCTCTGTTCTGTTCCATTGATCTATATGTCTGTTTTTATGCCAGTACCATGCTGTTTTGATTACTATGGGCTTGTAGTATAGTTTAGTATATTATAGATATCAGGTAACATGATTCCTCCAACTTTAGTCTTCTTTCTCAAGATTGCTGTGGCTATTTGAGGTATTTTGTGATTCCATATACATTTTTGGAATATTTGTTCTAGTTTTGTGAAATACACCATTGGTATTTTGATAGGAATTGCATTGAATCTATAGATTGCTTTGGGTAGT